GCTCATTGGAGAATGAGTTCACTGATTGATCCGCTTACGGAATGCTGGATGGTTGATGATGCCTTATTGTCAGACAGCGATTCCGTAGTCCTAGTGGTGTATCTGGTCCTTAGACTTGAGACACCAAGGATGTCCTGTATGAGTGCTCCACTCTTTGATACCAGACTTATAGGTTTGGCTGTCCCAGATCTAGTACAGCTGGTCATTGGGAGTGGTAGTCGACCTTACGAGGGCTATTGAGTGTCGATAGAGGATCATCCACTCTCGGCGTCTTGAGAGGAATATCCCATGTGTTCTTGCTCAGACAAATCCCTAGCCAGGGTCATTCGGGTTGAGAGAGAAAGAGTTCTCCAGGAGAATCCGATTAGAGCGAGACTCGAGTAGAAACCGTATGGGTCTGACAGCACCATGCTCAATATATGGTCTCTGGGATATTAGATGGATGAGGGACTATAGGTACACGGTAACTGAGGACAGACAGGTCCAATGGATTGGATTCCCTTGTATCGTCTGGGGACTACGGCGTAATGGCCTAGTACGTCCGTAGTCGATGAGTTGAGTGAATTATTACAGAGATAATAATTCACTGAGTTAGAAGGAGTTCTGACAGGTATGACTCACGGCCAGCTCAATATTGGGCCTAGAGGGTCACACACATATGGTAGGCATTGCGATGAGTAGAGGTTCGGATATGAGATATCCGACGGAGCCCTTGTCTTATTGGATGCAGATCCAATACCCACTAGGGGAGGACCCATTAGGGTTTGACAGGGGACCTCTATAAATAGGAGAGATTCAGAGCCTCATAGGCTAGAGCCTTTGCTTGCCTTTCCTATTCTCCTCTTCCTCTCCACCTCAGATCAGGCCTGGAGTTTTGAGGAGCGTCGTCGCAACCCTGCTGTGTGGATCACCACTAGAGAGGAAGACGCTTGACCTCCTTTACCCTCTCCTAAGGATCTGCAAGGAAATAGGGATATACAATCTCCCTAGGTAACACAATCTACTCTATACGCAGTTTCATGTTTCGCGGATTTTTGCGCACCAATCTTCGCACGACGACGAACATCTTTTTGGGAATCGGGGATTTTGTTTTCTTGTTCTTCCGTTGCGCATGTGATGTCGCCCCCATGATTCCCAACACTTACGACATCAGACCTTCATTCTAGCGCTAGAATAGTAGGAGATTTCGTAGTTGACATTCAAGTCAACCTGAAGTTGTCTAAACCCGAAGGCGCAAGAGTGTCCTAAGTGGCTCTGATATGGGGGTCAAGCTTTTGAAACGCCGCTTACACCAAGGGTGATGTTGAGAGAAGTTCCTAACCCAGTTCCTTCAACATTTAAGTTAGTCCGAGATCTTTTGTGGGGTATGAGTTTTTTTTTTTCGAAAAGAGTCCCTTGACACGACGTTGGGAGTTAACTTTTATATTTGTTCTTGGGGGGATAGCTCGTAACAGTTCCAACGTCTCCTTTTGACGTTTTGTCTACATGAGCGACATGGGAGAGACAAACTCGAATGACCTCCTTAGATTATAGTCGACAGACAAGTGGAGAGTGACTAGGATCTTCTATTTTCACGCCACCCTTCACGTGATGACAAATGTCATATGATAATTGACCACAAATATTTTTCATATCAATTATCAATACAAATATAAAATTTAAACTATTAATCTAAGATAAAAAAATTAAAATATTCAATTAATAGGCTATATTGTGTGAATACATATATTACATGAGTAAATTTGAATTTTAGATTAAACATTTTGATATAAATTATTTGTATGAGAGTTTTTATACACATGTATATTAGTTCTCTAGTAACTATATTGTTCTAGTTAAGTGTAAAATAAATAAGTAGCCTAAGAATACCTAAATTATTTATCGTATGATGTTTCAAAATCTCATAATATAATTATTTTCATTAGTTTGCATTTTGCATTAGATTAATAAAAAAAATACTGATAGTAGGATGGGAATAGATATCTAATTAACTTATGAGTGGTACGCGGATTCGACCGATCTATTTTCCAACCAACATTGGCTGCAATTCTACATTAGGCGAAGCGATCCGTCCGGGTTAGAAGTTCCGAGCAAATTCGAATGTGACTCGTTCATCAGGACAATTATTCGGGTCACAAAAAATAATGAAGCTAACGAAGCTGTGAAACATATCCCAACATGGCCAGCAATACAGTGGCTGACTCGTTATTTATTACGAGACCGGCTCTGCAACTTTGACTCGTGGATGAACTGACTGGACTCTGCGTACGTCAGCTGCCACCAAACATCTCCACATCGACAGTACGCGGTCATCATGCCACGTGACGTTCTCGTGTCCGTTCGATGGCCCCTTTGTTCGACTCATGGACGGCAGATGAGCCGACCGCTTCGTAAGTAGTAGTATGCGGGTTATTAGCACGTAAAGTCGAAGCGTTCCGAGCACTCCCGGTGAGGTGACGCGAGTAACGGATGCCATGACTAACTCCCTCGGCAGTGCCTGGCGGATTAAAAGTTCTGTGAAAAATGGATAAACAGATGGGTTTTTCTTTTCTTTCTGTTTTCTTGGTTTGTTAGAGCGCGCTCGAGCATTGTGTTTGTCTTAAAACCGAAGGCGATCGAAGCAAGGAGTATCGATCGAGCCCTAGATCTCATCCTATTCTTTCGTTGTCGTTCTCCTCCTCCTCCTCCCTCGTGATGCGGCCTTCGGTCTAGGGTTTGATGCCGCCCTCGCCTCGGGAGTGCTTTGGATGGACGAACCCTCTCCTTTCTCCTCCTGCTCCCTGTTGATCGCCGCCGGAGCCACCGCCCTGTGCTGCATCTTCGCCCTCTGGGCCCTCCGATCGAACGCCGAAGGGGTCTTCCGGAGGCCCAGGAGGAAGAAGCTCTGCGGCTGCTCTTGTTCCTGCGGGGTTGCCGGGAGTACTGGTGGTGGGGATTGCGACGCCCGCGGCGGCGACGGGGATATGGCGGTGAGGGATAACAAGGTCGGCACGGCGGAGCGGCAGGCCGGCGGGTCGATGATGGAGCAGCTGGTGCCGGAGATCACCACACACGCGCTCAGTTACCTCGACTATACCAGCCTTTGCCGCCTCTCGATGACTAACTCTGCGATGAGGAGGGCTGCAAATGACGATGGCGCGTGGAAAGCACTCTACCACAAGGTATCCCCTCCCGCCGCCTCTTTCTTGATATGGACAGTTGCTCCGATTGACGCTGTTTCCTACATGCGAGGGTTACTGCAAGTGTCAGGAGTTGTTTGATATTGTTGTAGTCGTGCAATCTCAGTCACCTGATGTTAATTTCTGGTAGCATTGCTCCTCTACGATTGTCCCTTTCCCAGGAGATTCTAAATTTATAGAAACCTCTATTTGTGAAATCTGAACACGACTTTACACGTCAAATCGAAGCACAGATGTGGTTTCATGAAAATACATGTACAATGATGATCAGTCGAATTGTCATTTCTATCGCTAGTGAGGCACCAACTCAGGGAAAATTCTTGATTCTTGAATAAGTTTGATTCAGAAGCGGGAGATTAATGATCAGTTGAGAATTTAGGGGAACCATTTTTGGTTCTTTCTTAATAAGTTGAAACAAAAAAATAAGATATATCTTTTTCTGTGGCATGACAAACTTTAGTTGATCAAGGATTGCTCTATGACAATTATCGTGGAGACAGATATACCTGCATCACATCCATGATGACCCTAGTTTTGTATAGAATCTAATTAGTGCAACAATGGCGATAGTAAGCAGAGCAATGTTTATATTTCTTCACCATGAATTATATGTGATAGACTTAAAACTAGTTCACAGGAGATGATCTCTTCGTTGTTACTGACCAACTTTTCAAGTGCTAATGATATAGATTTGTTAGTAGTATTGCTTTTGTTCTTTTAGCATGTTCAGATGCCGGAATGCCTATTTGATTAATGTTATTCTCTTGAATACTTCTCAATTAAATTCAGGTGCTAGACTTTTTTTAGGACACAAATTTGATGTGAAAAGTTGAGGATTAAGGAGAAGGGGAGAAAGTGATTCTGTAAAAGAGGAGCATAGGTGCTTGCTGCAAAAATAATATGCTCTTCTCCGAAGAAAACAGACCATCCAGCCTGACTGAATTGCATTCAACTAAAAAGGGTGTGAACCTGGCGCACAAGGTTCCTATCAATGTGGGATTTGGGGGTGATCAACGTGTGTGGTCTTCCCTCTATAAACGAAGAGATTATTTCTGATTCGGACCCTAGTTATCTAGGTTGTAAAATATCAATTACCATTGTACTAAGGTCCACCCTCAAAAGGGAAACAATAATGTATAGAAATTTATGTTATGTCATTGTTTTAAATTGGAATAACTAAATTCATGAACCCTGACACATCTCTATAAATGAAGAGTTTATTTTTGATTCGGACCCTAGTTATATAGGTTGTAAAATATCAATTACCATTGTACTAAGGTCCGCCCTCAAAAGGGAAACAATAATGTATAGAAATTTATGGTATGTCATTGTTTTAAATTTGAATAACTAAATTCATGAACCCTGACACATAATTCCATCTGCTAGGCACATTCATAGTGAGCCATGCTGTTATTGTGTTAAGATATATTTCATTAAATCATTGACTAATCATAAAGGAATTCTCAAAAAACAAATGTCATTAATAATTTATTCAGTTTTAATGGTCCAAAATCATAGAAGGAATAGATCTTATGAACACAATTAAACTTTATGTTTTTATTATGAAGAACAACTTCAACTTCTATAGATTTGTAGTTCCCTTCTAAACCATGGATAATTTTTTTTTAACTGATTTAATCTTTAAAATTAACCTAAAAATTCCATTCATCAAGGTATCTGTCAGCAAATGTGTTCAAAGAACTTTTTCCATGCAGCAAGTCCAAGAACGACCAAACTTCTAAGTTAGAGTTCAAACCAGTTGAACCAGCAACAACAAAATTTTCAAGAATCCAACTATATGGTTGACAAATTGAAATTATCCTATATGGGCAACAGTACTTGACTCACATTGCTACGAGGGTTCTAGGGATGAGAAGGAGCTCGAGAATTTACCTATTCGACATGTAACAATACTTTGAAGATTTGAGGCTTGATTATAAAGAAACCAAAGTTTCAATAGTAATCGTGTATCTGAATGGGGGTACAAAATTTTAGTGGCGAACACGTTGGGAAGAGATCCAACAAGCTCTGTGTTGAGTGGACACATAGGAGGACTTGAAGTGAGAGTTTAAAACCCAATTCTTACCCGAGAACATTGAGTTTGTCGCAAGAATGATGCTAAGACTACTTCGCCAAAGCACTTCCATTTGGGACTACGTAAAGTAGTTATCAGCACTGATGCTAGACATACAAGACATGTTTGAGAAGGACAATTTAGTTAGCCTCCTCAATGGCTTGAACTCATGGGCACAATAGGAATTGCATTGAAGGATTGCTAACGATTTGGTCGGGGCAATTGCAGTTGTAGAAAGGCTCATCGACTTTGTTTCTTCGAATGACTCGGGGAAGAAGAAACGATTTTTGGGAAATCGCTCGTCTAAGTATCCCCGAGGGAAGGAGTCTGCAATCGAGCAAAAGAAAAAAGAGTTCCTACAAAGGATCGAGTTCAAAATGTAAGGTCCCAAAAGCTGGCGGATGTCTTTTGTGCAGAGGATCGCACATAGTGAGGAAGTGCCCACAAAAGCAAGCACTCAATGCGTTGACAATATCAATTCATCCCCCCAGATTGGATAAGAGCAAGGTCGTCGTCGTCCTTAGTTCGAGTTGTTCGGGATTCAACAGCAACGATGAGGAGTTGTAAGGACCTTGGATGAGAGCAATATGTTTGTTGAACGCGTTGCAGGGTCAAGTGGGGGGGGGGGGTGAACATGAAGATGAAGCAATAAAAAGCACGGAGCCGATGTACGTGGATATCAAGCTAAATAACCAAACAACTCGTATGATAGTGGACACGAGTGCTATCCACAATTTCATTACCAACCGAGAAGCAAGGCGACTCGGGTTGAACCTAGAGAAGATCCAAGTCGGATGATGTATGTGAACTCAGAGGCTAAGCAAATCTCTGGGTTGGCAAAGGGGGGTCTCTATCAAAATCGACACGTGGAGCAGAAGCACAAACATGATGGCGGTGCCTCGGATTAGGCGTCGACTATCGTGCCCTAAACAAGGTGACAGTGAAGAACAAGTATCCCATTCTGCTTATAATAGACTTGTTCGACCTATTGGGTAAGGCAAAGTATTTCTCCAAACTTGACCTTTGGTTAGGGTACTGGCAGGCGCGCATAGCTGAAGGAAACAAAGTATTTCTCCTCTCTCTTTTCTCTCTTGCATGCCAAGTGTTTGTTGAATTGCTTATAAAACTGTCATCTTTGCAAAATGTCGGGACTTATCCGTCGCTCGTTTTCAGAACTAATCAATTTGCTCTTTTATAGGTCATTGGGGATCTAAACAATGTTGCAATTAGGTTGATCCTTTGCGGACGGATAACACAAGAGTGCCTCACGACTTAGGCAATTCTAGCCAAGTCTATGCAAGTTTGTCGGTAACGATCAAAATTTGATCGTTATCTATTGGTACAGGTCGGTAACGGTTGGATTTTGATTGTTTTGACTGGCACAAACCTTGTACCGGGCGACACGGGGGCATTTAGCATATACCACCCGGTACAGGGTGGTCCGCATACTAGTCCCTTATCGGATCGGTGTGCATCGCCCGTACTGGGCGGTATACCACAGCATGACAAACCTCCTATTGGTGATATATTACAAGAAAGAAAAATAGAGAAGAATAATGAATATTTTTTCACTATAGTACAAATTCAAAAGCAAACCCATTAAGGAGACTGTGTTGTTGGCCTAAGGACATATGTAGTAAAAGAGAACCTGTAAGAACTGCTTTGTTTTTTTCCCATTGGTGGTAACTATTTTGGGGAGTGGTTAATCTGCACAGACAGGTGAAATCAATCTGATACACAGACAATTCTGATTTTTGTAAATGATTGTATCAGTGGTTGGGAGACAGCAAGTTGGTCTTTAAAATCCCATTATGGCTACATTTAGAAGTGTTTAAAAATATGGGTTGTTGTTTTTAAACATAGCTTATGAGGATTATTTTCAAGGTGGTTTCATGAGATGAGAAGTTGTACTTGGGCCATTGGAACCTATTTGCTTGATGTTGGATGTCACATGTTATCTTGATGCTGACGCTTGGAGCAATGCTGATTACACAAAATCACTTTTAATGATCATGCATTTTTACTTGTGATTAGGTTGAAATGGATATTTTCTAATCTGTTTCCATTATCTAACTGGAGCATGATATGGTATATATCTCACATGTGTATACCATGTTCTGGGTTTTGCTATTCTAAACTCCCAAAGGATTATGGACATGGATTGACTTGTGTCATTTTCTGGATGTCAAAATATCCAGATTTTCAAATAACAGGAAATTATTGAAAGTACTAATACAGTGAGGCAATTGACAAATTCTTTTAGGCACATACCTTGATTTCTCCTAGGTCTGCTGTTTTCTTTGACCTTCATTGAGGAGCCCTCCTCTCCAAGAAATGTTATTGTTAATACTAAGTTAGTTCCTAAAATTTAAGCTTGCATGCTTTTCATCATAGTGTGTCTGTAAGGTACATCTTGTTAAAGCCTTTTTAACATATGTATTAGTTGCTTGCATCTGAACATAACTGTTCATCTTATATTTTCTTTCTTTTTTCTGTATGTTATCCTATTCATATCTGTATTATGTACATCAAATATGGTTATATATTGTTTCGGTTCCTTTTCTGGATCTCAACAATTTCATGCCAATAATTTCTTCCATAAATGTTCCTTCGCCATACTCGTTGCACCTAGATTCACGTTTGGATGGAATTTCTAGGAGTAGTCAATTGTGTCGGTTTAAATTGGTTGGACTGTATAAACTATGGTGGCCTATGCTTTGTTTAGCATTTGGATGCTGTTAGTGTCTACAATTTGCTCTCTATACTAATAATGTTTTTTCTTGCGTAGGACTTCACAGTGGAACAGGACACTGTTAACCCAAGCAACGGATGGAAAGCTTACTATGCTGCCACCAAAGCCATTGTCAATGTCAATGCAGAATTCTATAATATAATCAGAGAAAGGTCACTTCCAGCAATGAGTAGATTTTGGCTTAATGCTGACTATGTAAAATGTATACATGCATCTGGGGAGTTATTCACAGGGTATGCCATTAACCTTAATTTTGTTAAATTTGTTATTCTGGAAAAACTCATGGCTAAATCAGAATATGACACACTTGTCACTTTCTTGAATATTTTTACCTCTGGCAACTTTGATTATGTTTTCTTCTTTTCTGTTGAAGATGCTATAGTGATCTTTTATATGTAACTGAATTTTCCTTCTTTTTGTTCCAAAATAATAGCCACATTGCTGCTTAGCCTGCTTTGCAACCTTTGTTACCAAGGTTTAGGTCAGAGAGCAGCCTTTCTGTTTACATGGGTAAAGCGGCATACATTAATTCTCCCCAAATCTTGTATTGATGGGAGCCTCGTGCATTTATGCTTGTTTCAAGTTAAACTTAATACTCAGCTTGATCGCAGTATGCTTGAACCTTGTATCTTTAATTCTGCTTACTTGGGGCTTTTGTGATCTGACCACAGTAGCAGTTGTGCTGAGTATTCCTAAGATTTGCTACAGATAATGCACAACCATGTTTAACATCATCTAGACTCTTACATATAGGTGATTTATATGGCCTTTGTTTCCTAATGATTCATAAGTGAAGATATTATTTTGCATTTTTTTGAAATTTAGCATCCACATATATAATTTAAAGCTAAGTGATGCTGCCTTTTCATGCATCTGGTCCTTCTTAGGATATCTCGGTTATAGATTCTTGTGGTGGGAATGTCTAGGACAAATATCTGTTAAAAAGTTATTGTTTCCTAATTTTAGGTGACATTCATTCCTTTCGTGGTAGAAGAAATATTCTTGATGACATTGAATGATGGCCCTGCCCAACATCTGAGACTGAGTTTTAGACATATAGTGGACTATAATTGAAAGTTTGGAGTGCCATCACATTGTACCACTTTTGCTTAAACCCCCTTGTACCCACTCTGACATGCAATGTACTATCGGCCTGCATCTTTCAAAAAATGGATAAATTTTTTCATGCATAACTACCTTGATATTTGTGATGGTTCTAATGTTTTACTCACTTAATGATGGCTTTTTGTCTTTTTTGTTCTAATCAAAATTTTGCAGTGTTAAAGAATGTTGTTAATTGCATACCTTAATGTGGCCATTAGTATATTGGTAAAGGTTGTGGAACTTGTCTATTTTTTGGATTTTCCATTAATGGTGATACACTGAGATTTTGATGAATTTAGTTGTGAATACCAGCATGACAGAGATCTTGCTTATAAGATTGTGGCAACTAAAGATACTTGGTTGAAGGGCGGAGGCCCTTGTAGGACTGACATTACTAATGTTGTGCATCTTTACTTTTTAATTTGTGGTTCTCAGTAGTTCTGATTGTTGGTTGTACTCTTTCTACTTCAAATTATACCTGAATATTCATACTTTGTTGCTAATTCAAAATAGTGAAAAATTTTAGTTCATGTTATCTTTCTTGTAAAATCTTAGGTAGGATCTCTTCTGTATGTTTTTATTTTCACATTAACTAGCACTTATCATCTTATTTATTATAAAGTACCATTCAATTCCTTGTTTATTTTAGCATTTAATTTTTAAGGATATTTTTGTTAGTGTTGTCTAAATCTGTTCAGGCTATGTGCCTTTGAAGGGTTCTATAATTTTGTTTAAACACCATCAATTTTTTTATATTCTAGCAATAAGTTGATGAGGTCCCCTAAAATAACTTTGAGCACTTCTGTTTTGTTGGGTCTTTAATTATATGTAATTTGGTTGTTCTATAAAGGAAAAAAAACAATAGTTAGACTTTCTCATCAAGCTAAAAAATATAATCTTGAATATCTTCTAATTATATCCTATATGAGGTCAACTACAGAGCTTCTTTGGATAATACAATAGTCTATCTATTGTGTTCATTAGGAATTTGAGTGTTGGGTTGTTAAGAAAAAACATATAAAAAAATTTTATATTGTCGAAATGAGAATGTTAACATGGATGTGTAGAATTCTAGGAAAGATAGAAAAAAATATATTTTTATTTGTGAACAACTAAATATCGCTTCGATAGAGGATAAGATGAAAGAAAATTACTTAAGATAGTTTGGATATGTGCTGTGGAGATCTCCGAATGCAATAATTAGAAGAGACGAAATAATTAATGTAACTGGGACGAGAAGATGTAAAGGAAGACCTAAAAAGACCTTAATAGAAATTATATATAAAGATTTAAATACTTTGAACTTAACTAGATATATGATTTTTTACCGGTCTCAATAACGACAAAAGACCCATGTAGCCGATCCTAAATAGTTGGGACTTATGGCTTTGTTGTTTTTGTGGTAGAAATTTGAGCAAAATCCCATTTGCAACAATGAGATAATGGGCTATGTGCCCTTTGAACATTGTTGGATGATATTTTATGTCTTTAGTTCAGGCATATATGGCTAGTGCTAAACCTAAACCAATTTTTTTCTGTATGTCTAGACATCTATTAGAAATGAAGATTGCTCCACAACTTCCTTGGAAGGTTAAAAACAAGGGTGTCATGTAATCTGGCTGTGCTCATGTGTGTATGTGATGGGCAATGTGATAGGCTAGGCTAATAAACAGAGTTGATCATCACTGGTTATCAGTGTTTATAAAAAAGAATTTATAGTTCATATATCTTCCTGAAGACAGGCAAGTTGAAATTTAGCAAACAGTTGTGGCTTTGTTTTTCTGTGAATCTATAATGGGTTTGTATTGTTTCCTTTTTAATCATATTACTAGCAAAAAGTACTATCCCACCTAAAGCACTATCATTTGGTCTGCATTTTCCTTGATTATGAATAATTTTTGTCTGGCATAATTTCCTCAATGCATGAGCTCTTTCTTGGAGGTATTTGGGACTGTAACTGCTTTCCCACCTAAAATTACCGTAACACAAGATCCTTGGACTTAATGGTTACGTTTCCTGGCCATTTTCTTGATGAGCTGCTCAACTGCTTGTGTTTGTGAAGTAGGTGCCTGAATAATCGCCGTAACTGCATTTCTGACAAAAGACATGGGTATCTGAACTGGGGAAAAAATGCACTACTAGAAAGTGCAAGCAGATAAACCCATTTACATCATTCAACATTTGAAACTAGTTTTTTTCAAATAAAATATATTTGTTTCTCCTTGTTTACAACTGGTGGCTTAACGATTTTTGTGCTCATGCTTGCTTCATTACAGGTACAGTGCAGTGATTGACAGCTGGGCATTGTTATTCAACTGGGGCCAAGGTGGCGGCCAAGGGATTGATTTCCAGATACGGGATGTACGAGCTCGTATTCTTGGTGACGTGGCTTGGGTTACCATGAATGCTTATGTTGACATCGACTCGGGGCCATTCCATGTGACTAATATCTACGAGCTTCATGATGGGAGATGGCACATGGTTCACCACCATAGCTCAGTGATGCTACATTGAAGTGGATGAGAAAAGCAGTGGTTGTCGAATGCCTGATTGTGCTGAAAGCTTATCTCTCTTTCAATTTTCCCTCTTAGTTCTATTGTCATGTTTCTTTTCTCCATTTTACCACCAAAAGGTATACTTGATGATATCTTCACTCTAGAATGTCAACATATGCTTCTATAGCATTCTCGGTTGCGATAGTAAATTCTTTCCTCTCCATTAGGTCCAGTTGTATCTTTATAATCAAATTTTGATTGTCCAAATGTCCACCCTCCATCGGGAATTGTACAGATATGAATGTGGTTACAAAGAAAAAATGGAAACTGAGCATGCTGGTGGCTGTTAACATGATGAGAGTTTTATGCATTGTCTCATTGGTCTAAAGATAGGTCGTAGAGCTGGCTGTCATCGATGTTCGTGATCCTCACTGGTTCATGTCATGTCAATGTGTTTGGTTTGATCACTTCGAAAGAAAGCCCATGCTCTCTCTGCCGTAGATGTGTGGGTGGCTGATGGCGGCCAAGGTAAAAGGCCCATGGTTGGTCTGATCATACTAACTTGTGTTGCGAAAAAGTGTGTGAAGGCTTAATATGATGTTTGGCTAACTTCCTTTCATGAGCTTGAAGTTGGTGTGTTGTAATGACGTACGTATGTCAGATATCGTACTTCATCTGTAATTTGATAGTGATCTTTCGCTGGTGTTGCTACCGCAAGATATGATTTGGCGTGAGAGCAAAAGAAGAGTGCAGGTGTCCTGCTGCTACACGCCTAGTTTGTTGTCTTCTAATTGTTTTGTCGATAATTGAATCCCCGATCTATAGTCTCATCACGCGACAGGGGATTAGCATCAGAAATTGGGTCCCAGCATCTGTGCAAGTTGGTGATTCACGGATCTCCTCGTTGTATGTGGGCCCCTTTCCCAGGCTGCCTGTCTGCTGGTCTTCTCGGCTGGCTTCCAGGCTCCATTCATTTATCACAGGGCATCATATCATGATCGACGAACGGCTATGGTTTACGAAGCGACGCACGCCACGAAAGGAACCGCGGACGCGGCACGGTCTGCTCCTGGAACTTCCCATTCGTGTCTTCTGTCGTGTTCCACCACATCATGCGTCGACCGCGCGTCGCACTCCTTCCATCGCATGCGGCCCCCACGCGGCAAGAAGTGAAACAGGGTTTTTGAAGTGTGGGCCCGTACAGTAGAAGGCCTTAGCGCCTGGGGGGGGGACCACCTATCCTGTGCAGAGTGGCAACGTGTTCCCTGTCTGAGGCAAGACAGGTGAACTATATATGAGTGTGTGTGTGAAAGGATCGCAAGGATCAGACCCGGCATCTGCAATGTTCTTCTACTCATCCAGTAACCTATCTAGGTTGCTTTAAACATCCCATAAAAAGCTTTTTGTTTGTAGTTTTACCTACCCGTTGTTTGTGCTTTCAAGCGGAGCAGACATTAGCTAACAAATTAAATCATATCTTTTTCGTCAAAGAAAGAAAGGATCAAACAAGATTTTTCATTCATCCGTGAGGTTGCACAGAAAGAAACACAATCATCTCCTTAAGGGATGCTACGTGAAATGAAGCACCAACAGATTAATATTATTAGCCCAAGAACAGAAGAAGGAAGAACTACTAGTGCTACAAAGTCTCATCAGGCACATGAAAGATAACCTAACAGTCAGAACAAGTAATTTTAAACGCTCTTCTTCTACTAACAGGCAAACACATGCTCGCAGTGTTGACTCATCCAATCTGCCGCTCTCTTGCTCTTGGGTTGCTTCTGCGCTGCCTCAGCCGTGCTTGCGTACGTCCTCATCCTCTCGATCATGGCCTCCGTGTTCGCCTGCTCTGACAATATCTCCGCCAGCTGCTCCGAGCTGATCGCCATCCTCACTCTCCACACGCCCTTCTCCGGCGACGGCAAGACTTCCAGGTTCTTGAAGGTTTCTGTCCCCTGGTAGTTCCTGGGTCGACCTGCGCTTCCGCTGGCTTTGCGAGTGGCCGGTGGCTCTGCGGAGGCTATGTCCCTGATCCTTCCGGCAGCCTCGAGCTTCCCTTCTTTGGTGGTTTCCGGGACGGTGAAGCTCACGGTGGCGCCCTTCACGGAGCAGCTCACCATTGTACCCTTCACAGTGCAGTTCCCCATCAGTGCCAGCTGCCCAGTCTCCTCTCCAACATGGTGACGGCCAGTACTTAAGGAGGAGGAGGACCCGAGAGCTGGCGTGGATTCATGGAGAAGACAAAGCTTTGCAAATAATTCTGGATTACCCTCTCTAAATATGAACTTTGCAGACTGCGATTGATTGCAGGGACAGGTTTTGCATGATGGCCGGGCTTGGCGTTGTCTGAGAGCTGGAATCCGTAGTTACATGATGATGGTGGAGGGCTAGGATTGAGTTGGGTCCTCGGTGGGGATCAATATGACAAATTTGTGGTACAAGCAGCCATGTGTTGCACAGGAAAGCAGTCCGGCATGGATGTCTTCATGCCTTAAGGGAACTGTTCCTTCGTTGGCCTCATGGATGGCCACAACATCGAAACAGCTTGCAGATAGACGAAGCATCAGCCATTCTCTGGTCCACAGCATCATGAAAGAGAAAGCAGAAAGGGAGGCAAAGACCATATATATATATATATATATATAATGCCAATGGCATTGGATTCCATCGCATATTCTTAGTCGACATTTGGGATTTGACTCATTTTAATTGATGTCGGCTAATTCTCTTTATATATATATATATATATATATATATACTTAACATATGGAAAATTTTAGTCATATCAAGCTAATCTAATCGGAGCAGTAATCATTGTCTATGCTCCATGTGAATTGATTCCTCGAGATCATGTTGTGGGCTAGACATTAATCCGTGATGAGAGTACTTATGGGCCAGCTTACTTAGTCCAACGGGCCTCCTTTATGCATGCAATTGGACTCATGTTTTGTCTTCTAATATGTTTTCTCACTAAATTGTTATTGGGATTAATATATATATATATATATATATATATATATATATATATATATATATATACACTAAAAATAATCAATAATATATTTCCTTGTGAGAAAACTTGAGAGATAAGCCTACTTGAACAACAAAAGGAATTATATTACGATATATTTTTGTTTGAAGAAAAAATACTGGTAATTGAGGATTAATTGCTTTGTACATACACTGCCCATTTCAGGATTTTGGTGCATCGAAAGAATTTTATTTTTAATTTTTAAGTAGATCTAGAAAGATTGAAAGATTTTTTTTTATGTTTTATGAGATAGGATGTATGTATGTACATACACACATATATAAAAAGAAATTTTAAAATATAATATTCTCTCTATGGATATAAGTAAAGCCTTCTTCCTCTCAAAGCGATTCAACGATGATAAAGTTTTGTAGGTAATAGAGGAGTAACTATTCGAATTTATTTCCGATCTCTATTTTGACTTACTTTGTGGGTCGATATTCTTTTATTTGTCGCTTTTGATTTCGATCGCATGTACTCGTCTTCATATATATTAACAGTTAGATCATAAGTATGTATATGTATATTTATAGGTGCTTTACAAGCCAATCCTCCGTAAGTGTTGACACGATCTCTTAGCTAGGCTGACTAATGCCTACCACCACCAAATCGCTTTCGGCGACCGATTAAATGGTGTCGACATGACTCGTGACATCGGATCGAGCTACTAATCCACTCACATTCCCATATGATATGATAATTTGATGATCGAGGAATCTTGTTCCACCAAGTTTCGATGATGCTTTGGAGAATCTTCTCTCTCTCCACGCATGAGAATAATTAACTCTTCCGCATGTCGTTGTGGGGTTCCCAAGAGGCCATGGTGGATCGCCAATTATTGGTGTCGTCGCAGCTTCATTAGGCTGTCAGCTATGACGAGTCGATCACACGAGCCAACGATGCTCAAATGACGAAGCAATGGTACACCAGTTCCTACGATCTGGGATCCCCTCGGTGTCATTTAGTCATGCACGATATTGAGAGAGAGAGAGAGAGAGAGATAACATGGGAGACCAAAGCTCATGGGAAAGCACCGCCACCATCAAAGCACGGTGGCATATGCCGACTTATAGTGTGGCACTCACAACGCTTTAGACGAAAGGATCGGTTTCGATACATGCAAGGAGATGGCAAGTCTTGTTGTCTTTCTCAGTTCTATCTCATCTCTATCTCTTTTTGAGTATAATAATTGACCCTTTATTTATAGAGTATGAAAATTACATTACTCAATTGTGAATAGTGGATTAAATTATCGCAATTAATATCGTCATGTATTATGTCGATGCACTCGACTTATTAGTGAGACATACGTTACATTCGATTAGATCGAGGTTGATAGTGATATGAACATATATATGGATTTAGGTATCTAAATATACGCTTAAAAAAAAGTATGTTAATAGTGACATGAACATATAGTTAGGTTAGGTATCTAAATATATGCTTTAAAAAAGAGAGCTAAATATAATAAGATGGAGATGGTCGTTGAAAAGTCGACATCCGAATTAGACCAGATGAGATAATTGACTCAACAACTTGATGAGCTTTAATATACAAACCTATCTAACCTTTGTCGACTAATTTAAGTTTAAATGTGGTATAATAAATCGGATAGTTTAGATTAGGAAGCATGTCATGTGATTTGATTAGTAAGTGTGTTTGTATACAATCTTCAAAATTTCATGCTTGTTGTTAGTGTAAACAACCTTAAGTCGTGGCCGACGCGACTCGGTTCGGGTCTAGATGACGGGGATCTCCAAAGGGGGTTCCTCAGGACTACTGAGGTCGCCGGCTCGATCGGTTCGATCGTGGAGGTGGGTCGCCATTTCCTCCGGGAAGGGGCTCCTCGCTTGGTGCGTCCGATGAGAGTCGCCTCGTCTTCGTTCCTGCACACGGGTCGGGTCGAGGTGCTTGACCCGACCCCTCCGACGATCTAAGTTAGTTGAAGGTCGCAGGAGGTTTGTTCGTGCTTATGTGTTGTCCCCCTCCCTCTTGTTTAGAACACGAGGGTATTTATAGGAAAGTTTAGTGTTATCTGATGTGCCTGCCCACAGGGAGCAGGATCGTACCTCTGACAACGTCTGACATCACCGTTGGCGTGGCATGAGGGATAGAACCTGAGCAGTCATTAATGGGCCTCGGTTGACGTTTCGGCCCGTGTTTACCAGGTGCTGTCAGCCCGACAGAGACATGGGACGTCAGCTGATATCACGTGAGTCTTATTATAATTATCATCCTCATCACTTATATACCGAGATGGAAGACAAAGGAGGCTTGAAATGAGCTTAGCATTACGAGGGAGAAACAGTGTCTTTGCTCGTTGAAATCACGAGTAGCCGTCGGTCCGCTATTCTCGGATCATATGCTAATAGCAGATGGCCATGTTGCTGTTTCAAATCACCCACTCCTCCCATAGAAACACGTTTGACGCATCGACTCTCTCTCTCTCTCTCTCTCTCTATATATATATATATAGAGAGAGAGAGAGAGAGAGAGAGAGAGAGAGAGAGAGAGACTTGGGCGGAATTCTCCACCGTACGGCGACAAGTTCCCACCCGGTCGCTGTCGCACCACCGCCCCTCTCGTCTTCCCCGATGGAGGGGTGGACGGGGACGATGATGAGCCCATCATATCCGAGCCCCCCACGTGAAATTTCCGCCCTCCTCTTCTGGACCCCACCAATCCCTCACCCATCCGTCCACCCCGTCCCCGCCCTTTGGTTATTACCGACAGAGCCTCCCGGCACGTGCCGATACTGACTGTAACGGGAGGCGGTCCAATCACCTGTCTCCCTCCAGCGGACCACGCATCGGCATACGTATGTGCGCCACCCGCGAGCCGCCGGTCCCACTCGCGATGGCAACGTCGGGGAACGTAACGGGGCGGCTTGCTCGCCGGGAGGACTTCCGTTACGTTGCGGTGTATTACCGGAAGCCGCAGTCAAGATTGGGGACCACCGGTGGACCCACCTCGAGAAACGATAAGCGCCATGTGACAGTGGGTATACGTGGCGTCTTCAATGTGCGTGTGTGAGAGAGAGAGGGACAGCGAGTGGGGAAGCCATTAACTCCATCGCCATCACTGTACACACGGGAGGAGGACACACCCCCACACCCAGCAGGTAAAAAGGTATTCGGCCGATTCGGTGACGCCGCTTTCTTGGCTCCTCTCTCGCTCGTCTTCCTCTTCTTCTTCTCTCTCGGTCGCTTTGTTTGGGAGAGAAAAAAAAGGGGGAAGAAAAGAGGCGGGCGGAGCGAGAGAGAGAGAGAGGACGGGTTTGATTCCTCGAATCGAGGCAACGAAGCGGCGTCCGGCAGTTTCGCTGGGGCTGGGGAACATCCCAGCGCTCGGGGATTCAGCGAGGAGGGCGGCAGCGGGTGAAAGGCGAGGCCTTTAATTCGCGCCGTTCTTCTCTCCTGACGCGTTTTGCTGCTTCATTAATGGGGTGAACTAAATGCCTGAGGGAGCGCCCAAGGGTCGCACGGGAGGTTTCTCTCCGTTGTTCGGCCGCCAAATTCGACCTTACTCACGGTGGTGAAGGAAAAGCCGGTGCTTTTGGAGCGCTTGGGTTGGTATCGTGGCCGCGCGGATCGGAGTCTCGGCTGAGCGATATGCTGAAGAAAGGTGAGGGTTGCGTCTCCTGTGGCCTTAATTTTTTGGGGTTGCTCTCTCTCTCTCTCTCTCTCTTTTAGTTTGATTGATTCGTGTTTGATGTGGTGATGCAGGTGATACGCTGTACGAAGAGCTGTGGAGGGCGTGCGCGGGACCTCTGGTGGAGATTCCCCGGGTGGATGAGAGGGTGTTCTACTTCCCCCAAGGTCATCTGGAGCAGGTGAAAGAAAGAAAGACTTCTCATACTCTTCTTCTCTTGTATGCGGTGGAAGCGATAAAAACTCCACCTTTTGGGTTATAATCTTTGGATTCTTCGTGAATTCCTCTGTTTATATGCAGTTGGAGGTTTCGACAGATCAGGAGTTGAACCAGCAGATTCCGCTGTTCAACCTTCCTCCCAAAATTCTATGCCGCGTTGTCAATGTTACTCTAAAGGTTGGCTATATTTCCACCCTCTTTCTTTCTCGAATTAAAACTTTGTCCTTCGCTTCTAGAAATTTGCTGTTGGATAATAGATAGCTCCTTACCGTCCCGCTTTTTCCAGGCCGAACCCGACACTGACGAAGTCTATGCTCAAATCACTCTGATTCCTGAGTCAGACGTAAGAAACAAATTGAAGTTACTTTCAAAGAATTGCACTTGCATTTCGGGAAAAAGAAATTCTCTTTTTGATACAATGCCACACAAATTGAGTTCTTTTGGGGTTTGATTCTTGTTAGCAAAACGAGCCTACCAGTCCTGATCCATGTGTTCTGGAGACGCCGAGACCGGTGGTTCATTCCTTCTGTAAGATATTGACAGCTTCTGATACAAGCACCCATGGTGGCTTCTCGGTTCTTCGTAGACATGCCACCGAATGTCTTCCTCCTCTAGTCAGTTCTTCCATGTCTCTCTCAGTCGGTTTCAGTAATCGGTCTTACTTTTTCAGATGTTCTCTCAATCTGGACTGCGTTTGCATGCCTTGACAGGATGTATCACAACAAACCCCCTCACAAGAGTTGGTTGCCGAGGATTTGCACAGTTTGGAATGGCGATTTAAACACATATTCAGAGGTATCAGTTTGATTCTCTTCTCTTTGAATTTTTTGTTACCAACCAAGGTAAAAATTCTCCATTGCAGCACAATGGGCTTCAATTCAATTGTATACTTTTCCAGGGTTAGTTGAAGGTAAAAAAAGAAAAGTAGCTTTTGTCTTCTCAAATCATCGGCTAATTGAATTCTGATTGGCAGGTCAACCACGGCGACATTTGCTCACAACAGGATGGAGTACATTTGTAGCATCAAAGAGATTAGTCGCTGGTGATGCATTCATCTTAATGAGGTTAATGTTTCTTGAAAAAAGTTTTCTCTTTCCTTTTTCCTTAAGACTAGTGTTTTAAGTTTGATTCGATGCTCTAGAGGGGAGAATGATGAACTGCGGGTTGGAGTGAGGCGACTCGCCCGCTGCCAAAACACTCTGCCGACATCTGTGATATCTAGTCATAGCATGCATGTTGGACTACTTGCCACTGCATCACATGCCATTTCAACTCATACACTTTTCATGGTGTACTACAAGCCTAGGTAGGAACTGATACTCAGATTACATGTCAAAGCACATTATTATCATGATTGATTGCTGTGTTAATTGAGTTATGCATGGTGAATAATTTAGGTGTAATCAGTTCATTGTTAGTCTCAACAAGTATCTGGAGGCAACTAAAAATGAATTTGCAGTTGGGATGAGATTCAAGATGAAATTTGAGGGAGAAGATGTTCCAGAGAAAAGGTTATTCCTCATTAATTCTCCGTTCTTGTTGTATTGTCTTGAGCTTCTTCCTAATGAATTTTTTTTTGGTTCTTATTTCTTAGTTTCACTGGTACTGTAATTGGAATTGGAGACATTTCTTCACAGTGGCCAGGTTCAAAGTGGAGATCATTAAAGGTTACGCATGAACTCCTCTTCATTCATCCAAATTGCATGGACATTGTGTCTGAAGTCTACTAATTTCAGGTGCATTGGGATGAAGCATCTAGCATTCAGAAACCAGAGAAGATCTCTCCATGGGATGTTGAGCCTTTCGGTCAACCCATCTCTGCTTCTGGTGATCCTCAGGCAGCCTTTTCCAAGAAGAGAGCTCGGTCACCCTTGGACCTCCCTGGCACTGGTAGTGAGAATGAAGTTATTCCTTTCCTCTTCATTTGCTCGATATTTATGTGACTGAAATTTAAACTTTTTTTATTCTATTCATACGCAGAACCTAGTTCAACTTTTAGGCATCCTGTTGAGGACCAGATGTTCGACCTAAGACCACCGAACAGCATCAGCGCTAGGAGCTCAGAGACTCGATTTCTCTGGTCACCTAGGCAGACAGAGAGCATCAACTTCAATTATTTAAATATTCCCAGGCCATGCAACAGAGGATTGTTGGATGGCTGGTCGAAAGACTCATCTTCACTGCCACATGTTACGCCCAAGCGTTTGGAGGATGCTGTTGGTGATGCAGAGGCCACTCTCCCTTCCTGGGGGCTTGCCTTGACTCCTATAACTGAAGAACCATCATTGGATTTGGAATGCAAGATTGAGAATGAGAAGAAGCCTAAGAGTAGCGGTTGTTACCGGTTGTTTGGGATTGACTTAGTCAGTCCTTCCGCTGGCATATCTTCAACCGTGTTATCGGGTGACCATGCGTGCATATCAAGTGCCACAACTGAGGATCCTGTTGCTGCCACCGCTTTGAACGAGGACTTGGATGAGCAGTCTGGAGTTTCAAAAGCTTCAAAAGAGACAAAACAAGTGCTGCAGGCATCTCCAAAGGAGATTCAGAGCAAACAAAACATTGCTGCCAGAAGCTGTACCAAGGTAAAAACATAGCTCTTCGAAAGCATGATTACTGTTCATAAGGAACTTTGATTAACATTTGGGTGATTACAAGGTTCACATGCAAGGAATTGCAGTTGGCCGAGCTGTAGACTTGGCAAACCTAGAAGGTTACGATGAATTGTTCATAGAGCTAGAACAGATGTTTGAGATCAAAGGAGAGCTTCGCTGTCGCGACAAATGGGAGGTTGTCTTTACTGATGATGAAGGGGATATGATGCTGGTCGGCGACTATCCATGGCCGTATGTATCATCTATGAACCCTCTTGACTTATTAACTGATTACAAGTCACCTTCTGCTTGAGGAATTAAATTGATTCAAGAACACAACTTTGCAGGGAATTTTGTGAAGTGGCAAGGAAGATACTCATCTATCCAAGTGAAGATGTGAAGAGGGTGGAGCCTGAGAACAAGTTACCTGCCACTTCTTCCACATAGGGTGAAGCCATCTGCTGTTTCCCACCCAGAAGAAAACTCAACTGAAGGTCGGCATGCTTTCACTCTTCCCTACCGATCTGTTGGTTGGGGGACTCCTCATCATGCATGACAACAGTCAATAAAATGTCATGCTTCTTGCAATTCTGTTTTCCAAAAGAAGCCTATAATTGAAAGGCTGGTGTTCCGAACGAGTCAGTTTGATCATTGCATCCTTTAAGCGAAGTTTCGCTATCCTTGCAATGCATTCAGCAAACAATTGTGTTCTCGACTCCCAACATGCTGATCTCTGGCTTTGTGGAGAGCATCATTAAGCCATGGAAAAAACGCCTTTGATATGAAATTGACATCCGCTGATGGAGTGAAAGAAAATAGAATCCGACAATTAGCAAATCACAAAGAACAATGTCAGAGGGATCTTTGTCTCATAATCATTTTTTTAAGGAGATATAAGAATCACGGGATCATACGGAAGATGTTCAAACGCCTGTTTGATAATTCAGGAGTCACATCGTCGGTGGTGAATCCCTCCACAGTCGCTTTGCTTGCTTAAAACATTCGCTACGTTGACTCAACAAGTCACGTTGTTCCTATCTCACCTTGGACAGCTCACACGACCAGAATCTATTCCTGGCGTAGACGTTGATTCTCGATCGGTCCTACCAAGCAAAATTGGGCAGGTATGAGTCATTGCCGTATGAATCAATAGTACACTCGAGTGCAAAGCTACATCGTGTGACTCCACGAGCCGAGAGTGGTACTCATCTCTTTCTCAAAACTCTATCAGCTTCGTTAGTCAATTGACCAACGAGTTTGAAGCATAATATCATCAACTGCAAATTGTCAATGAGGACAACAATCTGCCTTCTACTAGTTTGACAATGAGGAAGCGAGTCTCTATTGGACTACTATCTTACAAAATTCAACAATATCATTAAAGATGATTAAATGCCTTTGAATAACTCACACATTGAAATATTCCTCTATACGAGGGAGAAAGGTTTCTTTGAACCTGAGGCTTTTAGCAGCAACTAAAAAACTGATATATCATCTGGCATAGGTTTAAACATATAAAAGACTTTTAATTACGTATATATAAAAATATTTTTTTATTTAATTTTTTGAGTTATTTTAAAAATATTTATTTTGACTAATTTTTTTTTTACTTTTGTTATTTATTGAACAAATGATGTATACTAAATTTTTCCAAGACTTAATTAATATATTCATTCTCATAGCAATCCTTGAATATCTCAATGCTAATAATATAAGATGTTTTACTCGTATCAATCATCTTAAAATTCTTGATGAATTTTTTTTGATTCAATACAATAAATCAATATCATTGCTAGCAAATAAAGTATTATCCATATATAAGACTAATATAATAAACTTTCTCTCATTGATTTTTAGATATAAATACTGATCGATAGTATTTTTCTTAAATATGAAACAATTAATGATTTCAAGAAATTTTATATATCATTATCTAAAAGCCTATTTAAGGTCATAAATGGATTTCTTAAATTTACATACAAAATTTTATATTTTTTATTTTTCTTTGTGAATCGTTTAAGTTAATCCATAAAAATCTAGATCTCTATTAAGAAAAATTATTTTTACGTCCACGTGATGTAACTCAAAATTATAATGGGCCACTAATTTCATAATGATTCTTAATAAGTTCATTTAAAAAACTAAAAAAATATCTTATTATGATTGATGCATTCCTTAGGAGTAAAACCTTTGACCATAAATATGACTTTTATATTATTTAATATTATTCTTTAGTTATATTTATGTAATTGATTTTTTTTATAATTATTAGGTAATTCAATGAGTTCTTAAATATCATTCCTCATTAATTTTAACTCTTTTGTGTCATATCATTTTTTAGGATCACTACTTTTGTAAAAATAACGAGGGATCTTTTGATTTCAATATCATAATTTGATTCTTGTAGATATATCATATAATAATAAAAAATAATAAGTCACCTTTTTCTTTGAAATATTCTCAAAACTATCAATTATGATTATTCTATAATAGCAATATCAATACTATGTGAGAGTTTATTCATGTTATTTTGTTGTTTGTATTTATCAAATTATTTAGTGATTTAAGGAATAATAATTTCTTAAATATAAAATAATAAAATAATATCAATATGTATTTTCTCAATATTAAAATTAAATTTTAAAATTTTTTACTCTTATTTATTCACCATTTTCTAGGAATCTTACATCATCAAATTCAACTGTTCTCGTAAAGCAATAAAATCTATATCCCTTTAAAATCTTGTTCAAGATATATATAATCATCCTTAATGCTTCTTGTTAAGACATTTTGAGTATAAATATCTTGTTATTCTAGGAATCTAGTGAAAGAATTATAATTATAATTAGACTCATCATATCTATTATAAGAAAATTTATCACCCATGTTCGATTTAAGAATCTTAACTTTTCTATTTAATTATTTCTCAGTAATATCTCAATAAGATATTTATAAATATGATAAAATATCTCTCTCCACTAAAATAAAAAATATGAAATGATCAACAGATCTAAACATATATAATCTCAAAGAGCACATGAAGCTATATTTCATTCCAATATTTGGAATGCATGCTGATGTCTGAAGTGATAATGGATCACGCATGTAATCAATGCACTTGTGACATCTCAAGAAACATAATTGATAAAGCATCCTTTCTCTTTTTCTCTTTGACACGGTCCAATCTATCATGGTTGAATCCAAAGCATGTATTTTGCTTCTAACATGATTAAATCCAATCATAAAACATCTTTCGACATAATTGAATGATTATAAAGTATCATTTGTCTTTGATGTAACCAAATATTTATTCCCAACACGTTCAAATATATCCATGAAGCATTCAGAGGTCTTCATTACCTCTGAATCATAAAACATCCAACATGGATCGAATTTGATTATGAAGCATGATCGAATTTGACCATAAAACAAAACATACATTATTTCTAATATAACTAAATTTATCCATACAACATCTAAAAAAACTTTCAATATAATTAAATTTAATCATGAAATATCCATTATCTATGATGCAATCATGACCAAATCTAATCATAGTGTCCATTATCTTTATTATCTCTAATGCTGATGGAATCTAACCACGAAGAACAAGGGCTTCACCCCTCTCTCTTGGAACGTCTAGCCTCTGGATCTGCAACATCAGCAAGACAACACATCGAAACAGTATCATTGAGCTTCTTGAGAAGCAAAACAAACATGAACTTGTATTCCTTCCCAAAGTTGTAACCATTTGGACTCATCAAGGGAGCAACTAGTTGACTGGATCACTGGAGAAACTCATATAAAATTCGTTCCCGTATCTTCCAAATATTTTTCTTATTTGAACTGATCCAGAACAATTCTGAACTTGCAATGTTCAATGCCCAGAGTAGCGGTCAACAAAAGTAGAAATGTGGTCTAAGTCTAGCCACATCATTCTGAACATAGAAAACCAAAGACATCACACTATCTTGAAAAGCCTCAAAAGTAGGAGAACATAAAGAGAGGAATTAAAAGCACGAGGAACACTAATAAGATGCAGATTAGTCTCTTCTCTTGCCAGTCACACCAGCTACCACCTGCCCTCACAAGGAAAAAAAAAAACACTTAAGAAATCCAGTAATAAACAAATCTTATTGTTCATGGATGACGACACTCTGAATTTAATGCTTGTCATAATGCTAATGATCCCATTATCCATAAAATTAGGCATGGAGTTCCATTTTGATTTTGACTTGTTTGTGGTGCTTTAAAGCGCTAAGTGGACATGACCTCAGCTAAAATACAGCTTATACTTTGATGTTGGGAATGTAGCAAGTGTATCTCATCTTAAATAAGGTAGGAGAAACTTTCTTAAAGCCACGAAAGAATAAAGGTGCAACATATACATACATCAGAAAGAGCAGGTTGCGGGACCTGCTTGGCTGTCTCAAAGGAATCCAAGATAGGCCTAACTACAGCAGGAAGGAAGAGACCTGAAATAGCATAAGACGACAACATGGTTGAAATTATAAACATAAATCTTTTTACTTGCAGCCAATGCAAGCAAACCAACTTATCAGACTCCATCTCCTGATTTAACATGCTTCAGAGCAGGCATACAAACAACCTATATAAAAATTCTAGTTAACTGAGAGCACATAATTAGGTATACAAAATATCATATACCAAGAATCTAAATTGTCCAATAGCGAAAATAAGCCCCATTTTTGGTTTATGTTAGAGTGCCTTTGATTAGATCATCAGCAAAAAAAATTAATATTGTGCTTGAGCCCTGATCTCGAAAAACCAGAACATGCAATGACCTGGCATGAATTCGTGGATGAGGTTACAATGCATCTAAGACTGATCAAATATCCTAGCTTCAGTTTAGCATACACAATATGAGGCATAAGCAATTTTACAAAATAAGGCAATATAAACAAATTGCACCAAAATCTGTCATTGATTCATGGTAGCTTTGTATGTCGTAGTATAGAAGAAAATATAATCAACAAGATTATAGAAAAAAAAATCCTACAAATTGTATGTTATATTTAAACCAAGGTCTTCCAGGTAATAACAACCATATATTAGGAGGTGAACGGAGGTGAGAGTTAATTTTCATACATCTGCAGCAGGTAATATGAGCAACAAGTACCAAAATCATCGTTTTTCCTGTTCTCAGAGAAAAAACAGTTTCATTCGTAAGATAGAGACAATTTCAGAGGCAGGAGCTTAAAAGAGCAACAGAATATTCCCCATAAAATTCCTCCATTTATTACCTAAGTTCAATAGCACAATACTTAAAAGCAGCCACATCTGCAGTCCCACTTCACGGAACCTAAATTACCTTACAATTCACATGAATCAACGTCACCTAAGACAGATATTGCTATGTGGAAATTTTTTCTTATCTTGTCTGTTATCCATGTCCGGTCAAAGGCATTAAGCATGATCCAGATCATAATGCACTGAAACAAACAGCTCCATTACTAAACAGACCAGAGTGTTTGATCAATAAAGGTTGTATTTATCTATCATCCTACACCTTTTATCAGTTAAAGGAGCATCAATATACATCTTGTTTGTTTTCTATAAGGACCAAGCAGCAGTTCCCTTCTTTTGCTGACAAAGCATCTCTATTAAAATGATACATAAACATGCATCTCCTGAAGCTTAACCAATGAAGTAATAAGTGTTCTTTTGTTTCTGGTTTTA